TGATCTGATCTGTTTGATTGTGTATCAGGTATGTTGGCATGTTTTGTCTGAGAGTCTAGCAGATTAGTGATCTGTTTGATTGTGTATCAGGTATGTTGGCATGTTTTGTCTGAGAGTCTACCAGGTTAGTGATCTGATCTGTTTGATTGTGTATCAGGTATGTTGGCATGTTTTGTCTGAGAGTCTAGCAGATTAGTGATCTGATCTGTTTGATTGTGTATCAGGTACGTTGGCATGTTTTGTCTGAGAGTCTAGCAGATTAGTGATCTGATCTGTTTGATTGTGTATCAGGTACGTTGGCATGTTTTGTCTGAGAGTCTAGCAGATTAGTGATCTGATCTGTTTGAGAGTTTATCAAATCACTTGCTCTTTGTTCGTGTATCTGTGTGATGTTTGATTTTAGTATAAATGTTTTTCAGATATTGCTCCGACATTTAAAGAAGTATTCAGATCCGTTACAATCGAGCCAGGGTCAACGGTTTCGTTAAAGTGCATAGCAACCGGGAATCCTTTACCTGAAGTACGTTGGACATTGGATGAATATCCCATTCCTGGTCATCTCCGCTTTTCTGTCGGTGATTTCGTGACTTCCAAGGCTGAAGTAATAAGCTTCGTCAACGTGACTCACATCCGAGTGGAAGATGGAGGTTACTATAAATGTCAAGCCTCTAATGATGTCGCTAGTGTCTTTAACCGAAAGAAAATTAACGTCATTGGTCCACCATTTGTTCGCCAAATGGGAAATATGACAACTGTAGAAGGTAAAACGTTTAACGTGAGATGCCCTGCTGCTGGTTATCCTGTTGAGGAGATTCGATGGGATCATAGTAAGTTTGTTATAATCCGCGTGATCTTGGTTTATTGAATAACGATACTTATAAACGTTTATACAAGGTGTTATTAACATTAATAATCAGTTCGAAGAGTCAAGATAAATTTATTTAACGACACTCTTGACTGGCATATAATTGACCTCTGTTCTACTTGATACAAATACATGTTTAACGACACGATTTAATATTTGCCAGATATTGTATATAACCCTTGTATATAACTAATTCGTGACCGATGTAGTGAGATTATTTGGGTTAGCTGTTTTGTATCATAGATGGCAGGCGAATTCCTTATAACCACCGCCAGAGGTCGTTCAGTAACGGAACCCTCATAATAGAAGATGTTGACCAGAGAAGTGATGGAGGACAATACTCATGTGTGGTGCGAAACCAAAGAGGGCAGCGTGATCAAGGAAAAATGTTCCTCGATATCTTAAGTAAGCGACACACATTTTGATACTAGGTGGCGCTTTTTTAATCATTCTTTGTCAACAATAGTGAATTTGTGGTTCAAGAAGAATTATCGTGTTTTCATAAATTTATTAATTTTTGCTTTAGCTAAAAACTAAAACTTAGTTTCATTATATAAAGGATATAAATGTTGGATATGGCATATGTAACTTAGAGACAGTACACGGCTTAAAGATAAGATATTAGAGATAGCACATAGAGTTTATATATAGAGTATACAGACTAGAGATAGCACATAGAGTTTATATATAGGGTATACAGACTAGGGGTAGCACATAGAGTTTATATATAGGGTATGCAGACTAGAGATAGCACATAGAGTTTATATATATAGGGTATATACACACGGGATAGCAGATAGATTCTATAGATAAGATATACAGACTAGGGATAACACATAAAGTCTACAGATAGGGTATACAGACTAGGGATAGCACATAGAGTCTACAGATAAGGTATACAGACTAGGGATAACACATAAAGTCTACAGATAGGTTATACAGACTAGGGATAACACATAAAGTCTACAGATAGGGTATACAGACTAGGGATAGCACATAGAGACTACAGATAGGGTATACAGACTAGAGATAACACATAAAGTCTACAGATAAGGTATACAGACTAGAGATAACACATAAAGTCTACAGATAGGGTATACAGACTAGGGATAGCACATAGAGTCTACAGATAGGGTATACAGACTAGGGATAACACATAAAGTCTACAGATAGGTTATACAGACTAGGGATAACACATAAAGTCTACAGATAGGGTATACAGACTAGGGATAGCACATAGAGACTACAGATAGGGTATACAGACTAGAGATAACACATAAAGTCTACAGATAAGGAATACAGACTAGAGATAACACATAAAGTCTACAGATAGGGTATACAGACTAGGGATAGCACAGAGTCTACAGATAGGGTATACAAACTAGGGATAGCACATAGAGTTTACAGATAGGTTATACAGACTAGGGATAGCACATAGAGTTTACAGATAGGGTATACAGACTAGGGATAACACATAAAGTCTACAGATAGGGTATACAGACTAGGGATAGCACATAGAGTCTACAGATAGGGTATACAGACTAGAGATAACACATAAAGTCTACAGATAGGGTATACTGACTAAAGATAACACATTATATGACATGTATTTATGTTCAGTTTTTCTTTACGTCAAACCGTTTACAAAGCAGGTTTCTACGAATTTATTTCAGCTTCCTCTGTCGTTTAGAGGTTTCAGTATTTTCTTAAATTTACTTCAGTTTCTTAACCTATCGAGCCAGCTACACTATCGTACTCTTTTGTTTTTAAAACAAGCTCATTTTGGAGTTACATCTCTTGTCAACTGATCGTTTGTTAAACTGGATCAGATATTGTTACATCTCTTGTCAACTGATCGTTTGTTAAGCTGGATCAGATATTGTTACATCTCTTGTAAATACCCAACCTTGTTCTTTATTTCCC